TTATAAATTCATTTGATTGTCTTTGTTGTTTCCTTGAAATTCTATTTCTCGTTAACACCTGCTTTTGATAAATATTGACTCTTATATTTCTAGATTTTTCTTATAAATGTACTTACATGAGTCATAAGAAAGACCATAGGAAAGATCTGAGTGGGTAAATGAGCATTTATTAGTATGTTGTTTAATATTTTAGTTTTTTTTCATTTCTAGAATGATGTCTGCTCATGATGATGTTAGGATCAAGCGCTTACCCACTACACCAAAAGCAATTGCCTTGGTGAAGGCGCAACCATATTTTCCTTAAACCGTAGCAGCTAGCGCCACGTTTCGATTTAGGAAGATGCTGGAACCGTGACCAACAATCCCCCCCAGCATCTGCCGGTACTAATAAGAGCTTCGTTAGAAGTCAATGGCCGCGCATCATGCCTTTCTCATAATTATGCACTCCTTGCATATTATGCACACCATGGAATTCGAACCCGTGACCTGCTCTGATACCAATTGTTAGGATCAAGCGCTTACCCACTACACCAAAAGCAATTGCCTTGGTGAAGGCGCAACCTTATTTCCCTTAAAGCGTAGCAGCCAGCGCCACGTTTCGATTTAGGAAGATGCTGGAACCGTGACCAACAGATGATCATGCAAGTCATACACCAACAAACCTGGATGTTGGTGGGCATAACCCGGATTTAAATGAGGGTTTCGAAACCTCACGCGTTCACTTGGAAACTGGTCCACTCTTCGAGGAGGATGCCCCTTTATTTCCTCATGGCGAATGACTGATGAAGCGGGTTACCGATTTCGTGCGGCAAGTTCTTAATGAACATCGAAAGGAGGATATTGTGAAAGGGAAGCGGGTTGATACGGGTGCCATTTCTCAACCTAAGTCCACCCAAACTTCGTTTAAAACATTCAAAACTAGTGGAGCAACTGAATTTAATGGGGTTTCAGATCCAATTGTAGCTATCGAATGGCTACTGAACACAAAAAAAGTGTTTCGGATCTCCAAAGTCTCTGAAGAGGATAAGGTTAACTATGCGACCGCTATGTTTATGAGTAGTGCACTGATATGGTGGGATGCAACTTACCAGTCTCTGAATAAGGCTGAAATAAATAATTTAACTTGGGAAGGCTTCAAAACCATTTTTCACGAACAATATTGTCCCCCTGACCTACTGAAATGGTTGGAGAAAGAGTTCATTGACCTTAAACAAGGAGATTTGACTGTGGTGCAGTATGAGACCCAGTTCAATATGAAGGCACGTTTTGCTTCACATTTCGTTACCTCTGAACAACACAAGATTGAACATTTAATTGACGGTCTGAGGAGAGAGATTAAAGAATTTGTATCAAATTGTGATCTTACAAGTTTTCGGAGAGCGATTGAATGTGCTAGACGATGAGAACACGAACTTTCTCTCTATGGTGAATCCGCACCTGAACCAAAGAGACAGAGAACTAAAATAACAACTTCTCTACCTGCAAACCGACCTAATCGATCTTTCACCCCAAGAAGGAGTCAGTCTCAGAGTGCTCCTCGAGCCCCATCTCGAGCCTATTCCATGTAGGTGTAATATTGTGAATACAAGTGAAGTGAATATATGAATTGTAGAACTAATACAAATTTATTGCAGTCAAACACACCTCGCGCATGCCAACGATGTGGCAAGGCGCACTCGGGACGATGTTTCTCTGAACCATCCAAAATCTCGTGTTATTCCTGTGGTAAAGTTGGGCATATTCGTACAAATTGCCCAAGACGAGATCGAGCGTGTTATACTTGTGGAGCTTATGGACATCGTCAACTTAATTGTCCAAATGCCCAACGTGAGGATAGTAAGACCTCAGTACGACAACCAACGGTGGGGGGTTCCTCAACCCGAAAGGAGGAAGTACCGAGAGCAAGAGTTAGAGCATTCCAGATCACAGCAGAGGAGGCTCGGGAGGAGCCGAAGCTCGTCACTGGTATATTTTTCCTGAATTCTCATCCTGCACGTACATTGTTTGATTCTGGTTCTACGTATTCCTTTGTGTCGCATGCCTTTGTTCGCTTTCTCGAATCTGTTCCTGTACTTTTTGATAGACCGTTTTCTGTGGATACCGCTAGTGGAACCCCTTTAGTAGCTGATAGAGTATTCAAAGATTGTACATTAGTATTGCAGGATCAAAATTTCTCAGTAGACTTAATCCTTATGGATATTCGTGGCTTTGATGTGGTTATTGGTATGGATTGGTTAGTAGCAAATCGGGCGGTTATTATTTGCGTGCAACGGATGATCCGAATACCAATTAGTGAAGGAGATTATGTTTATGTGTACGGAGAAAAAGGGGTCGGTGACATCAAGGTAATTTCTGTACTCAAAGCTCGACGATATTTATCTATGGGGTGCACTTCTTTCATGGCATATGTTTTAGATGCCACTAAAGAAAGAAACAAGTTGGCCAAGGATGTACCCGTGGTATGTGAATTTCAGGATGTCTTTCCTGATGATTTGCCTGGTCTACCACCGGACAGGCAAGTAGAGTTTCGAATTGATCTTGTGCCAGGTGCTGCACCTATTGCACGGACACCCTATCGTCTTGCCCCGGTGGAAATGAAGGAAATGATGAGCCAATTACATGGATTATTGGATAAAGGTTTCATCCGACCGAGTACTTCACCTTGGGGTGCTCTGGTGTTATTCGTGAAGAAGAAAGATGGTTCATTTTGCATGTGTATTGATTACCGCGAGTTAAACAAAGTAACAATCAAGAATAAATATCCGTTACCTCGTATTGACGATTTGTTCGATCAACTACAGGGAGCAAGTTATTTTTCCAAGATCGATTTGAGATCCTGATACCATCAGCTCAAGGTGCGGGAAGAAGATGTACCAAAAACGGCTTTCCGTACCCGATACGGACACTATGAGTTCTTGGTAATGCCATTTGGTCTAACGAATGCTCCGACTGCATTCATGGATATGATGAATCGAGTATGTCGGTCTATGCTCGATAAGTCTGTCATTGTCTTCATTGATGACATACTTGTGTATTCTAAGTCAGAAATTGATCATACTACGTATCTCCGTCAGATGTTGGAGTTACTAAGAAAAGAGAAATTATATGACAAGTTCTCGAAATGCGAATTCTGGCTCAGAAAGGTGCAATTCTTAAGGCATGTGTTCTCCGATGAGGGTATTTCCGTCGATCCATTTAAAATTGAGGCCATTCAGAATTGGGAACCACCGAAGAATGCCTCAGAGATCCGCAGTTTTCTTGGATTAGCGGGTTATTACCGACAATTCATAAAAGACTTTTCAAAGATTGTCGTTCCCCTTACTTCACTAACTCGCAAAGCTGTGAAGTTTGTATGGAATGAAGAACAAAAGAAAGCTTTTCAACTCTTGAAAGCTTGTTTGACGAACGCTCCGATTCTTGCCTTACCCGAAGGTAATGATGACTTTGTGGTCTATAGTGATGCGTCGAAGTTGGGATTGGGTTGCGTATTGATGCAACGAGGCAAGGTGATTGCGTATGCCTCCCGACAGTTGAAGGATTATGAGAAGAACTATCCCACTCATGATCTTGAGTTGGCGGCGGTAGTGTTTGCCTTGAAATTATGGCGTCATTATCTTTATGGGACGAAATGTCAATTATTCACAGATCACAAGAGTCTGAAGTACATTTTCGATCAACAGACTTTGAATATCAGACAGCAAAGGGCCATGGAGTTAATAAAAGAATATGACTGTGAAATACTCTATCATCCTGGTAAAGCCAACGTGGTGGCGGATGCTTTGAGTCGAAAAGCGTATGTCTCTTATATGTGTTACGCAATCACTCACACGTCTATACAGTCTACGCTTGTTGACGACATGCGAAGATGGCAAGCTGTGGCTTTAAAACCTGAACATGTGAAGTCTGAGGGATAGTTGGATGTGTAGATTCTCTCTCGGAAGATAATCGTGGCATGAAAGTGTTTAGATCCCGAATCTGGGTGCCGAAACTTGGTGGTGTGCGAAAGACTATTCTGGCAGAAGCTCACAAATCTAGAATGTCCGTTCATCCCGGCAGTACAAAAATGTATCATGATCTGCGTACCGAGTTTTGGTGGCCGGGCATGAAAGTAGATATTGACCGTTATGTTGAAAGATGCGTTACGTGTTTGCAAG